CACCTGCGGCTGAAATGTCGGAGCGGTATGTTTTGCTTTTAGGATTGCTGAGGCCACACGGGCAAACCCAGCAGAAGTAGGCTTAGTCTCGTGACCTTTTCCTAACGGCCTTGCGTGGAGCGGTGGGTACGTGGAACTCCATCAGTCCCCAGCAGGCGAAGTTGCAGGCGAAGCCGCAGGTGAAGGACGGGGTCTCGTGGTTCGGCGAATCTTCAAGAGCGAAGGGTGCGTGACTGGCAAGCGAACCTTCGCGGTCTTGGGGCATGGCAAGCATAGAGCTCATGTGAGGGAAGCATGCAGGGAGAAAGAACCTTGGGTTGTGTCGACGTGTTCGGTTGCTAGGTTCCGATGAGGACGTGCCGCAGTTTCAATGTCAGAAATTGCAGACTATGTCGAAGTGAGTGATTCTATTACCTTACAGACAGTCGTTCCATACAAAAGGTGGTGGTCAGCGTCGTTGGAGTCTAGATTCGAAGCTGATAGCACCCCTTCAGCACATGCCAAACCTAGGTGTGGCAACAGCCCTTGCATGAGAGTACCTGAGAGACCAGTTGGAAGCCTGGCTCTTGCTCTCTGTAAGGCATGCAATAAGTCGTACCGGTTTGCAGTCCAGCAAGTGGGCGAAGCATGTCTTCCACAGATCCTGCTGTGTCCCAGCTTCAGCGAACTGGCTAGGCCGTGCCACAAGCAAGCAACACTTTGGCAGGGCCAAACCGACGAGGAGTCGCCAACGCCGCCGGTGGGGAGCTCGTTTTGCCCGACCACCTGCGAACTCAAATGTCGCAGCGGTATTTTGTGCTTTTTGGATTGCTGAGTCCCCACGAGCAAACTCGGCAGAAGTGGACTTAGTCCGGTGACCTTTCCTAGCGGCCTTGCGTAGAGTGGTGAATTGCACTCTCGCCCTCCGTGGGTACGTAGGACTCCATGACATGAGCTAGTTGCAGGCGAAGCCCCGGCCACCTGCACATGCAGATACCAGGTAAGGCAATAGCTTTCGCAGGTACTCCGAGTAGTCTCCCAGAGAGCAGCAACGTGCGGCTTTCGCCGACCGTGATGCGACGCACAAGCGTGCGCAAGGTCGTCCAACACAGCACGGTGCACTCCAAGGGCCCCAAGAAGGTGGCAAGTGCAAGAGCCCTAGAAAGCAGAGCCCAGTGTGGAACCCACGATGCATAGATCGGGCTAGATATCAAAACCAACGGTCTCGTCAATGGGCGAAATTACGATCAAGAAGCAAATTCGGTAGTTTGCATATCATGCAGGTGCGTGGCAGCCGTGGCGGTGACGGAAGTGGTGGTGGCAGTGCAGCGAGACCACGGAGTGGAAAGCAGGACAACTGACGAATCATGATTTGTGGAATATCGCGCTGTGCTTGATGCTGGTAATGTATGCGAGCTTGCCGTTCATCCTCGTCGCTGAGCGCACCTGGCCATAGAATTCAGAAGCGCTGCCAACTGTCAGCTGAACCGGAGGATCGCAGAATGGACACCATACCTGAACCTGTGCTTGGATCCGTGCCCATGCCATTTCACAGTTTTGCCAGTTTCTGTGACTGAGACTAGAACTCTCTTGCTGATCAGGATCAGGTACAAGATGCGCATGTCGCAGACCGTCAGGCTCGACGGGCATGCAACTAGCATTCATTTGCGGGGCATGGCATGGCAGTGTCCGAGGCAGCTGCTTTCAACGCGTTTCCAGATGCCCAGCTGCTGCCGGATCCACCGGCCACTTGGATGCACCGGGTCGTGTGAGCTTGTGCACAACATCTTGGCACCCTTTCAGGAAAGCGAGGGATACCAAGGGAAGAAGCCTGGCCCGGAAGTTCTATTTCTGGAGGACCTGTGGGATTTGAGATGGTGTGAGCAATTTGGTTTTGCTCGCATCGTGACAGGATCCGCGGAAGTGGCCCATGTCCATGAAGGCTGTGGCCATGTGCGATGTAACTAAAAACCTGAATTTTAAGTGACTGGTCTCTGTGCGCCAAGGCGCGGCGGGACCCACCAGCTGCATCTCGAAGCAGCTCCTCGGCCGAAGTTCGCCTCGGGGGTTTTGATGCAAAGTCCAAGAGTGAAAGGCTTGGCGCAGGTCCCCGCTGTGCCGGATCCTTACGAGATAAGTTGGGCCGGAGAAGTGTATGCTACAGCAGTCCTTCAGGCACGTGCATCGTCACTTGGTCACTCCAGAGTGGAAGCCTTGACTGACAATTTACAGAATGCGCCGGGGGGCTGAGACGGCTGCATTTGCTTGCGCTTGAACGCGATTTCCCCGACAAACTTTCTGACGGCCCAGGAACAGCTCCTCTGCAGAAGTTGTCAGATTGAAGCTGCTGCTTGCGAAAAGAAGTGCTGTGCCCCGATGTGAACGACGAGCTAATGTCGAATCGACTTGAATCTAGACTGGTCAAACTCAGTGTGTTGGCTGCTGCGATGGATTCAGATGGCTCGAACACACCCAATATTTGCGAATGCTGGTTACAGTCTTTTGCTTGAGATGCCCATCCACATTGATTTCCACTTGTTAGGCACTGCGGTGAACTTAGCTCTTTGTCCGCCAGCATGGAGCCCCGAGAGCAGCAACGGCATCAGCCGCGTGTTGTTGCGGCTCCTCCCGAGGCCGCAGCCTCAGCAGACCATTGTTCGTTTAACAAAGCCTCGCCACAGCCAACACTCGACGACTCAACCTGTGTGTTGACTGTTCTCAAACGTGTGTGCATGCGCTGCGTGGTTGAGGATGCCAGATGAAGGAAGAGTGATAGGTCCCAAGATCGAAGTGAGCGGTCGAAGGAGCAGAGGCTTGCGGCGAGCCGATCTTTCTACTAAAGAGACGTGCAGTGCTGGGGATCTCAGCACATCTTGCTTCACAGAACCCTATCGTGAGCACCAAAACAACCGCATCGTCAGCACCAGAAGATCCGGGGAGCGTCGGGGTCTTTTGTCCCTGTAGTGAAAGTCGATGGTGCAGCGGGCTTCGTTCAATACCTCACAATCACAACGTGAGTCTTGGATGCTAGGAGAGGTTTGGGGGCGGGGGGTGGAGTGCGTGGGTGCTCGAGGGTTTGTTTGAGATATCCCCCGCCTGGGGCTGACCGGGCTTTGCCAAACACAAGATGCCGAGCCTTGCGTTGGTGTCTCTTGCCGGGCGGCACGAGAAACGGGTTTCTTCTGATGCTGCTGATGCTGGCCCCAGGGGTGCTCCCGCTTCAAGGTCCTTTGCATTCTTGGACAGCATTGACGCTTGGAGTCTTGTGAGCGCTTGCATACTGTGGAGACCAGTTCTTCATCTCATATGTCTGCATCTGTGCATATGCACATGATTGCACATGTATACCTATAGTTCTATGTCGGTATGTCTGTAGGTATTTACGTCTGTATCTTTGTCTGTTGGTGTGTATGTTTGACTATATGCATGCATGTCTGTACTTCTGTTTGCATGTACATATCCGAAAGTACATGTCTGTTTCCGTCTGTCTGTCTGTCTGTCTGTCTGTCTGCCCCGACCTGCGCCTACCTGCGTGCCTGCCTGCCTACCTGCCTGCCTGTGTGTTTGTGTGTGTGTGTGTGAGCTTCCCTAGTGCATGGAAACAGGGGGTCATTCCCTATTTTGTTTTCCTAAGCCAGGCGACAAGAATCAAATGCTTGCACGGGGCCAGGAACCACATTCACCTGTCCTGGCCAACGAAGTCCAAGTGATGTGGGGGTGAAAACGTACCTGCGGACAAAAGCTGCGGCCCCTGAGCCAGCAAGATTAGAAGGCCCCTGTGCCAAGATCAAACGACATACAACATTCTTCTTTCTTTTCTCTTGACGTCTTCTTTCTTCTCTTGTGCCGACTCCATCAGTGTGATTCAACGAGGGTCATGAGACTCCAGAGCAGCGGCTTTCCGTCATGGCGCCGTGGTGACCCTCCGTGGGCGACCGGTGATGAACCGGATATGTTCAGAATCGTGTTCATCAGTCCTCCCGCTCTACTAGTCTATGACTGTTGCTGTCGTTCTGCGGATAGCGGCATGTGAGTCTGACGCGAGTGCAGGTGCGGTAACTTTCGGCTAGTGCACAGGTGCTACCTCGCTATTCTGGCCTTTGTATTTTATGTATGTCTCCTCTCAGGGATTGCAAGGGCATGCGAGTTTGACATGAGGGCAGGTGCAGTAACGATCGGCTACTGCCAGGCAAATGCAGCTCCTTCCGAGGAGTAATTGGCAGACCTGTTCTTTCTTGCATCTTCCCCCCCTCAGGACCCTATCACCCTTTGAGGTCCTCGAAGGACGGGGGACCTCGAGTACCATGGCTCCTGGGTGCCTTTGTGCGCAGCTGGAGGATGGCCCACTGCTGCTGGGTGCTTTCGTGCGCAGCTGGAGGGCGGAAGCCCTATTCCCGCTCCTGGCCTTGGACTCCACGTGGGTAGCTGGGCAGTCGTCACTCCATTCTTGGGTCTTTGCTGGCAGCTGGAAGGAATGTACTAACCCTAAACGTGAGATGACAACATACCGCGAATACATTGTCAACACATTGATCTAAAGCCGCTAGCGGTAGCTGAATAGCAGTTTCCTTTCATTTCCCCCATGACTGTCGCCTTTGGGGGCCGGCGCGCTCAGCTGAGGGACAGCCTTTGTAATCCCTTTCTCCACCCTGCGTAGGCTGGATCTGGGCCCTTGCTATGGCATCCCTCTGTCGCTTGTGGGGGTCTGCTCGCCCAGCTGAAGGACAGTCTTGAACCCTAACTCAAAAACCTCGCCACCACAGCCTGGGCTACCACATTGCTACTTTCCGGACGGTGTCGTCATGCTCTGCAGTTGTGCATTGCAGCCCACAGGGCTTTGTGGTTTAGTTTTGGGTTCGGTGTAGTGTAGGTTATGATGCCCTGGCGTGGCATAACAGGGAAACAGCGGATCGCCCCAACATGGGGCTGTGTGTGTGAGAACTTCCGTAGTACATGGGTACAGAGGGTCACTCCCTTTTTGTTTCCCTAAACCAGGTGACAACAATCAGATGCTTGCACGGGGCCAGGAAACATTCACGTGTCCTGGCCAACGAAGTCCAGGTGATGTAGGGGTGAAAACGTACCCTCGCGGCCCCTGACCCAGCAAGATTAGAAGGCCCCTGTGCCAAGATTAAACAACATGCAACAATCTTCCGTTTTTTCTCCTGACCTCTTCTTTTCTGCCGAATCTATCAGTGTGTCGGTCTGTGATATGTATGTATGCATGCCTGTTTATCCACGTCGTCTTTCTTCAGCCCGGTCCAGTACAGGGCTGACGGTTCTCAAATGGATACACCGTTGTTCGCATTTGGTGGTGCATGTCCGCTTCTGTTCACCTGCATGCCAGAGCATGTCTTGGTCTGGACGGTTTGGATAGGATACATTGCCACACCAAGGAATGCAAGATGATGGGGCAGACTTGCAGCCAAACCCTCAATCGCTCGCACCTCTCACAACTGCGGTTAACGCTGTAGAGGCTTCGGTGTTGTGTTGAGCGTCAGCGCAAGGTGCAGCTTCTGTGGCTGCTGTATCCTGTGGCATTCTACTGGCTGGGCGGCTGTCGTTGGAAAGCTTGATGTACATGGGCTTCTTGGCATGCGATCTACCTTAGCATGCTTGGCTCGAGTCTTGGCTCGATCCTTGCAAATTTTTGCCTGCGCAGCGGTGGACAGCTGCCGGTGCAAAAGACGCAACTCCAGGCTTCATTAGCATGTCTGGCAAGACCGCCCTCACACTGGCCGCACTGGCTTCGCTCAGTTATGTCTGCGGCTTAAGCATCATGGACAGCGTTTTCCGGACATGCCAGCATGAGGGTTTTTTGCTCAGGTCATCTGTGGACCCTTGCTATTGCAAACACGCCTGACGAAGACAGTAGGCCTTCCCTACAAGTGCATCGGACCTGGCCAAATCCAATCGCCCACTGCATGCAGGCCAAATGCTCGTGGACAGGGTCCTGAATGCCCGGTGCAACTGGGAGCTGCGCACTCAAAGAGCCACATGATACTTCTGCGCCGTCGCATCTCATCAACGACCACTTTGTCCGGCTGTTATCTCAAAGGTGGCTGCATGCATGGCATGGTCACCCAAACGAAGCACCTGACTCTTTTGCCACCGCTGTGTATCCGCCTCACGGGCTGTACGTAGAGACATGTAGAATCTATCCGATCGGGGTGCGGCTGTGGGGCTATGTGAAGTCGGTGAGGCCAACAACCGGCACGAGCAGGTTTGCTTTGGGTTTAGGGTATCTCTGGCCGCGGGCACCCGACAGCTTGTGATGGCCAAATTGGCTGGGCAATTATTGAATTCTGACAGAGAGCTTCGCCGTGGTTGTCAATCCTCGAAAGACCTCAAAGCAATGTTGACATTCGGAAAGCCTTGCGCACTACGACTTTGGAGGCCATTGGAGGGACTTCTTAACTTGGGAAAGTCCAGCACTCTGATGAACTGACCGCTGCAGCAGGGAATCAGTGGCGTGACGAGCTAGTGCAAACGGTATCATTCACCCGGTCACCAGTTTCGAACCAGCCTGCTGCCTGCGGACCACACTTCACGGCTCGACATGGTGACTCTTTGCAAGTTCGTGGGCAATTTGATGGTCTCATACCGTTGAAGTCTGTGTTGCGTCAGGGAACCTCCGCACTTTTGTGCGTCCAGCTGTAAGTCCTATTAGTGCTTGTATGCGTTAATAAGAGCCGGTTAGTGCTTGTATGCGTTAATAAGAGCCGGTGTTGAGACTGTCGGATGCATTTGAAGACGGATGCTGCATGCTCGCGATTCGGTGTTATTGTTATCAGGTGGTTGTGGTTGTAATGATGGTTGTTGTAGTGGGAGTGGTTGTTGTGGTTGTTCTTGTTCTGGTTGTGGTTGTGGCTGTGCCTGGCAACCTGAACCCCTTTAAACCGTGTCCCCTTTGCCCAGGACATTGTCAGGAGACCACCAGGCTGAGCAAGCACGTCGCAAACCCTTAGCAACCACTGAGCAAGACTTTATCTCCTGGCGAGGATTAGGTGCTTGGAACGGCTTTGGCAACAAGCGGAGTTTCACTTTGTTACCACGGTGTTTGCTAAGGCCTTTGGTCTTGTAGGGGGGTTCAGGTTTCCACATTATTGTGGTTGTTGTGGTGGTTGTTGCGGTGAT